TTGATGATCATCACCTGCCCAGCAGACAGTAAAAAGCAGCAGTCCTGTCCTATAGTCCATCATGTTCAACTGTGTGTCCACTGTTCTCTGTCGTCCTCTCTGCTTCACATAAGTAGAGGAGGAACACATCAGATTTATTGACTCCTCCTCAGAGAGATAGAAAATCATTTAATTTGGATATCACCTTTACTTAAATTTTCAAGGCAATTGACCTTTTTATTTGCTAATCTTTTTATTATTTTTTTTCGGTATTTCAATTCAGGCAGACATTCAGTAAGAACACAAAGCAGAATAACACACATCTCCACTTTTTGACAGTTATGAAAAATACAGTAACATCTGTGATCACATTATTGGTGTGAGGCTCCCTCTGGTGGCTTCATGTTACTGGTGTTCAGGCTCTGAAGCAGGGGTCTCAAACTCAAACTGGCATGGGGCCACTGGAGTACTGTCGACTTAAAGGAGGGCCACTACAAAGTTCAAGCACCACAAAAAGGACTTTATTTTTGCAAATGTACTTTTTGTTTCCGCAAAATTTTGTCACACATCACTAATACAAACAGCAGTTTATATACATTTTTCAAAACATCTGCTTTTATTTAGTAGTGCAAGTCTTTTGCGTTTGCTTTATACTTAAATAACTAAAATAACTTAATCAAATAATAAATAAAACCTGCACTGAACCAAAAAATGCAGTTACTCAAAATACCAGTACATTAATCCTGCATTCTATTTCTTGCCAGACACCTGGCAGCGCTTCTGCTCACACAGATGAGCCACATTTACCTTGATGGAGGTCACAGTTGAAACCCTGAGTACAGCTTCAAGGTGTGCATCACTAAGCCTGGATTTTATTTGCTTGCATTTATTAAAGTTCATTGTCGAGAAAAGTTTCTCACACAGATATGTGCTTTCAAAAAGGCACATTACACGACTGAACAATTTGGATAGCTCTGGGAAGGATGCAGGTAATTCTCTTAGAAACTGTCCAGTCAGGTCTGCCTTCCCTGTACCTCTCTGAATTTATTTTTCAGTTCACTGTTACACTGCAGGTCAACAAGTTCCATTTGCAACACACTTGGGACACTCTCAACATCAGCTGAAAAAGGGTCTGCAAATACCTGGAAAGTGACCCGGTGTTCCTTGAAGTCAGCAAAACGCTGATCAAACTCCTGCAGAAGATTGTCAATAGCAGAGGTATATTCATCACCACTGAATGCTGTGCCCTGTTCCACAAGAGATCTGAATGCTGGAAATGACTGAGGTTTTTGGCAGAGAGCTGAGTTTTCCACAATCTCAGTTTTGTGCAGAAGGCTTTCACACTTTCATATGCTGCTGTTATGAGCTGATCAGGACCCTGGAGCTTCAGGTTGAGGATGTTCAGCTGCTGTGTTATGTCCACTAGGAATGCAAGGTCCATAACCCATGAACTCGTACTGCTTTGGTGCAAAATCTTTGCAAAGCATGAGAAGGAAACCTCCTCTCCCCCATCACATGAGGAAAACACTTTAAGAGTTGGCTCCTTATAAATCGGCACTGTAAAACAAAGATATACACAAATATATGTTTGCGCAAGCAGGGAATAAAACGTACAAAGATATATATGCAGAAGCAATATTTTCAAAATGCAGTCGACTTCGAGGTTAACTTAATTTGACTTTTTGACTTGTGGCTTCTCCTCAAATTTACACTTTTAAACGGAAAGACTCAGGAGGAAAAAATAACATTACTAAACAGCAGAGCTTTAATGCTCACTTCTGCATATATATTTACTGCTCCAGCAAGCAAACATGGATCAACCCAAACCTTAATTATCAGCATACAGGTCAATCTATCTGCATAACTTTAATTATGCAGATGGATAGAAACAAGCATGGCACATTGCAATGCTGTGATTGTAGACAGGTGCAGAGGACATGCAGAATATTAGTAAGGAGTAAAATAGACCGAGTCAGCAGCGGAATATGCATGAGAAAGTGTCAACCTTCTTATTTCACCTCACTCTTTTGTTTGCACGCCAGAGTCACTAATTATTCAAGTAAAAATATTAAAGGATATTTCCCATATCTCACATTAAAACAGTGTTTTTTGTTGATTTTATTATCTTTTATGTTTCAAATTCTTTTGAAATTGAGTATATTTCTGTAGTAGACTGACAGAATCATGTTAAAGAAATTCAGTTTTGTTGAAAAATTACACCAATAACTTAAACATTTACTTAATTATTACTCTTATTATTATTTGCAGTAGAAGTATTTGTAGTAGTTTTGTAATTATAATTATTACAGAAGTATTGTAGTACTTTCTAAGTGTACAGTAAAATACATATCTTTCTAATCTACATGATGTAGACTATTTTTATAGGCAGATTATTTGTATTTATTTGATATCTTTATTGCATTTTTCATAGTAACATTGTAATATTAACATATTCTATATTTATTTAACACAACCAGATATATTAATTGATTTATCTGAATTAATTAAAATATTCTTTCTAATTTATTAAATATGTCCTGACACATTTTACAGATCACAGTGAGCCTATCAAGTACGACCATTTTTACTGCATGTACATTTCTATCAATGCAAATTTAAACAATATAAAATGAGTTTAAAAATGCATGATAATATATATTATCATCTCTGCCATCTTAACCTGCTACATGTAAAAATCAGCTGCTATAAGGTATTTATATGACTGAGCAGAAGTCTTACGTGTCACGATGAAAATCCCCTCTCCGTCTCCTGCTGTGTTTGATGCGATGCATTTAAAGGGCTGCTTTGCATCCAAGTCCTCTTTGTTCACTTTGATTTGACTGATTCCTGTATAAACACCACTCTTCTCTACTGGAGGATACTGGATGAAGTCCGTCAAGGCAGTTCCAGCTTTGCTCCACGCGTAGGTCACCGAGGAGGGCGAGAAGCCAGTGGCAAGGCAGCCAAGAGTGACGGTGTTTGCAGTCTCAGACCCGCATTGCATCAGAGGAAACACGGTTGGTTTGGATGAAGTGGCTAAAAAAGAAAAGAGCAGAAAAAAAATACTGAAATGAAAATGAATCATTAAAGAAATTTGTTATTAAACTTAAATCACACATGAAGAGAAGTCGGCTCACTTTTAACAGATGGCTTAAAGCATTGGATTGAAGAATACATTTTGACACCTTTACCTGATGTGGAAACTACGCTCCATGCAGTTCTTCCATCTCATCTGCTATCTCTCTTTTTTACATGTTATTGTTTGAGCTAACTTTCACCAGTAATATGATTTTTGTGGTTTTCATATGTTTGATTTTTTTGAAGTCTACAACTTCGACTACAACCGCTCTGAGTTATATTTTAGACTGAATAGATGAAGATGTAAATTCTTTGAATATACGGCAAATTATTTAGTGGCAATTTTTTGTTCTTGACATACTTTTATTTAAATCAAGCAAATAATTTAGGAATTCAATTGTTCTTAACTGATGTAGTGGTTACAGTTGTACCTTTTCTCCAGTAGTCAAAAGAAGTAGAAAAGTTTAAGTTACTTCAAATATAAAAAGGGCTACGTCTGCTTATGTTTTGTGCACTACCAACGGTTCTTGCAAATTTAACTTGCTAAAGACAATCGACATTGCATCTTCTTACAAAGTTACTGTTCAAGTACACGAAAGTACCCTACTTTAAAAGTGACATTTAAATCTGAAGTATCACTACTTTAAATGTAACTTAAAAAATGACATTTTGCAGTGCAAATCTTACCTGATGTCACCGTTACCATTGTGCCTTTACCCCAGTAGTCAAAAGCATCCCAGTTATCACAGTAAAGAAAGTCAATAAGGACTTGTCACAAAAACCTATCACTGTAATATCCCACAACCTCTTGTTGAATATTTTGGTGTCAACAACAGTAAAAGATTCTAAGTAAAATATGCATCTTTGAATAGCATAAAATGTAAACCGAACTCTAAACTCTTTACCCGGCTACAAAAATTAGTTTGTTTTATCGCTGGCTACTTTCCCATGACCACATCAAAAAGATAACATTGCATCAGTAATGAATAAGACATTAAATTCAGAAATGTTAAAGATACATACCTGAAGTTACAGTGACCATTGTGCCTTTACCCCAGTCAATAAGGACTTGTCACAAAAACCTATCACTGTAATATCCCACAACCTCTTGTTGAACATTTTGATGTCAACAACAGGAAACAATTCTAAATAAAATTTGATTCTTTGAATAGAAGTAATTTAAAACTGAACTCTGCAGCCAGGAGTTTGAAGTCTTTCGCAAACTCTTTACCCGGCTACAGAAAACAGTTTGCTGTTTTATCGCTGGCTACTTTCCCGTGGCCACATCAAAAAGATAACATTGCATCAGTAATCAGATAAGACATTAAATTCAGAAATGTTAAAGATACATACCTGAAGTTACAGTCACCATTGTGCCTTTACCCCAGTAGTCAAAAGCGTAGTCACAGTTGGACAATATATTAACCACGGCATACAAAAACCTGTTCTCAGGAATCAAGATATTTAACGGTTCGTAATTTTTGATATTATCTATCCTTTTGCATTTTTATATTTACCTCTGCAAGTATCAACTCAGAAAAGGCATGATTTCCAAAACAAAACACAAATAACATACAGTATTCAAGGTGTCTCAACTACAAAACAAGCAGTTGACTTACCTGATGTGACGGTCACCATTGTTCCTTTTCCCCAGTAATCAAAAACACCATCACAGTGTTTATATCACAGCATTTATCATACAAAAAGTGAACCAACCACTGAAGTTGTTGTCTAAATTTGTTTGTCATCACCGCAACATTCAGCATACAAAAACACACCATAACGATGTTTCTCATGCCGCTGAGGGCTAAATATGTTAAATAAAACAGTAGTTTATATTTCTTAAACATGAGGACAAAAAGAGCCTTTTTTACCTGTTGTGACGGTCACCATCGTTCCTTTTCCCCAGTAGTCAAAGTAGTAGTCACAGTGTAATGAGTCAACACATTCAACATACAAAAACGAGCACCATGAAGATGTTCCTCAAGCCACTGAGGTCTAAATATGTTAAATCAAACAGTATATTCTAATTTCTTTAATATGAGGACAGAAAGAGCCTTTTTTACCTGTTGTGACGGTCACCATCGTTCCTTTCCCCCAGTAGTCAAAGTCACAATGATTGGTTTCAATCACACTTTAGTGCAAAAATCCTCTCGAGCTTGTGTCATCGAATAAATCGATGTACTTCATCAGTAAACCAGTTTGTATGCCTTATATTTACCCTAATGTAAATGCTGAAGACTGTACGTTGGTTTGAGTACACAATAAATCAACATTCATTTAATTAAACATTGTAAATCATCGACTGCATTCATTAACATGTATTTTGATTATTACTTACCAGAAGTTACTGTGACTTGGGTCCCTCTTCCCCAGTAGTCAAAGTAGGCATCACAGTGATATATTACAGTCTGCTTATAATATAAATACTAAACGTGTTGTTTAATCAGTGAAAAGCTAACATGTTCCACTGACAAAAGCTATTCCCACTGTACTATTTATTAACCACGTCCCTAGAGATATTTATTTCCTGTGTTGTGGGTTATATAATATTAAGTGTGTTTGACAACGGTTAGTGTTCACTTCCTCTTTATCACATTCTCCTTTCTCAGGTCTGGATAGTGCAGCATGGAGTTAACACAACCAGATGTATTAATTGATTTATCTGAATTAATCTAAACCTGCAAAAATGTGTATGATGTAGGGCTGCGTTGCCCTCAAGTCCACATTCTATACCAGCTAAACATAATAAATATAAAGTCTTTGCACATATCTAATTCATCTGCCATAGCTAATTCAATCAGCAACACTATCTTTACTTGTGATGTCCTGTGTTTCAGTCCTTAACTTTGGTTTGGGTAATTTACAATCTCACAATCCATCAGCTTTCATCTGACAGCAATATATGCCTCAGGAATGATGGCCTAACTTCTAGTGTTGTAGGACTCAAAATCGGTCTTGGTCTCGAGACTTTTTGAAGGTCTCTTTTTGGACTCTAGAAAATTTTTACTTGGTCATGTCCAGTGTTGGGAGGGTTACTTTTAAAATGTATTCCCCTACAGATTACTGATTACATGTCCTAAAATGTAATCTGTAATGTATTCCCTTGGATTTCTCAAGTAAAGTAATGTATTCTAAATACTTTTGGATTACTTTTAGATTACTTACTACTAGCTGAGCGTGTTTATCTGGAACACTGAATTTAGTTAACACATGCTTTAGAGAACGATCTAATTACTGTCTTCAGAGAAAAAGTTATGCAAGTACACAAAACACAAATGTGCAACTTAAAGAAAAATGGCATCCATTCAATTTCCTTTACCTTTATTAATTTCCACAGCTCAGAAATTAGAGAAGTTAAAGTGCAACATGGCTGCTTTAACTAGCAGGTGTATAACAAAGCAAAAACATGCTTTAAATGTGCATAAAATAAAAATTGTAAATTGCATTGAGAACAATACAGGGTGCAATCATCCACTTCGTGAACTCACAGCAAACACATTATGCATGGTCAAAAGGTGACTTGGGGCTGGTGGCTCAGTGGTTAGGGCACATGCCCCATGTATGGAGGCTGTGGTCTCAAGCGGGCAGCCCGGGTTCAAGTCAGCCTGCGGCTCCTTTCCTGCATGTCATTCCCCACTCTCTCTCTCTCCCTGGTTTCCGACTCTATCCACTGTCCTATCTCACAATTAAAGGCACAAAAAGCCCAAACTTAAATCTTAAAAAACCAAAAAAGTGACTTTAAAGGCCAGTGTATATCTCAGAAAGCTTAACACTCTTATGTGTACAGGCAATATTTAAGTGCAGCTTCATATCTAGTTTACATGCCTGTAGGTGTATTCTGTGACGGTAGTTGTGAGGACAATATATGCACTAGGTAATGTGGTGGAGGAAATGGCTTTTTTTGTACATTACTCTTTTTGCACTTAAATGACAAGAAGCCAAAAGAATCGTAGAGTGAATCTATGGCTTTGATGACTGCCATGATTATATGCGCAGAGAACTGTACCTGTGTAACTTTCTCCATTAATTTTCCCTTCAGGCTGAGAATTGTGGGTATCAAAAAGCCAAGCAAACAGTTCTTTTCGCCCTGGAGAAGGTCGATTGACTAGGCGAGTGGTTTCAGAACTGCAGTGTACTCCTTCAAAAACACAACCTCTTGAGGGGTGTAGTTTGGCCACATTGAGACGGTCACAGACTTCAATGAGCTGGGCTTCGGTGAGACTCATTACCTTTTCAATAGCTTGATACTCTGAGCTCCATCTGGTCACAGAGGGGACAACACACCTCATGTTGGCAATGTCTTCAATCACTTCAGCTGCACCTGGTGAGCGGTGAGCTTTGTTCCAAATGGCAGAACATTTTGACGTGGCACTTCTGTACAATTTCTGTGTGGGACCTTGTGATGCAGCCTTATCCAGATCATTTGTGGCGATCAGGTTAAGGTGTGAGCTGCGCATCGCTGGTGTGGGGGTAAATAAAAGTTCTCATCTTGCTCCTCCTGGACCTCGTCAAGAATTGCAGCAACATCTGCAAATTGCACATCATCTGTGTCCTCTTCTACATCCGATGCTCCATATTCTCTGAAAGCTTTGACAAAATTGCTTCCATTGTCAGTCACTGTTGCTGTGACTTTGCCCTGGATTTGAAACGCACCATGTATCTCGTAATTTTTGTTGCAATGACATCGTATGTGTGGCGTCCGCTTATTCTTTCACATGCCAACGCTGCCGATTTCCTCTCCAATGTCTCTGGCTCAATCCAGTGACAAGTGATCCCTAAATAACTCCTATGGTGGGCAGTCCATATATCTGCTGTCGTGCATACTGTATGAATCCCATGGAGTTTTCTGGTTATTGACCCTTTCGTGCTCTGGAACGCTTTGTTGATGCGCTGTGAGTGTAGGACAAGCAACATGCGAGCCGGCGGACATTAACCCTCCTTTCTTTCCCCGCATGTGAGCACTCTCAGCCGGCAGAGCTGGATTAATAGCTGCCGGGGTCATTTTTCCGTTAATGCTAATTAGCCAACTTACCTCAAGATGCTTCTTCAAATTAGACGTGGAGTCCCAAGATGCTGAAAGCAGCTTCGTTGACGGTAAGCAAAGCTTGCACTGCACTGTGATGTTGCGGCCTTCTTGACCAGGTTTGTAGGTAAAATTTTCTCTGAATTTCCATGCCAAAAATGCATTTTTGTCCTCCTCCGGGTCGTTTTTCTCATCCTCTGCCATTGTCATTCGGTTGTGTGGAAAGTGCTATCACGCATTGACTTGCAGCGTACCTGCGCACATAATGCCACCTGCTTCTGCATCCGCACAGTGCAACCTGCATGTAGTTCCGTAAAGTAATCCCTACAAGTAATCCTTTTTTTGAGAAAGTAACTGTATTCAGAATACACCAATTTAAACTGTAACTATAACGGAATACAGTTACTCTTATTTTGTATTTTAAATACGTAACGCCGTTACATGTAATCCGTTACTTCCCAACCCTGGTCATGTCTTGGTCTCAGGCTGGGCAGACTTCGGATTGTAAATCAAGACTTGCCAAGACCACCACTGATAGGCTATTTTTCCACGTCATTACTGTGATTAGAAGAAAAACGCCTCTTGCAATAAGTCACTCACTTGACTCGGTCTCATCCTTAATTACTTGGTCCTGTCTCGGTCTCTGAGCACTCTGGTCTTTGGCTCTCTTGGTCTTGGTTAGTGTGGTCTTGACTACATCTACGTTTAGCCGTAACGTCCAACCACAACTTTATTTTCCCTCAGTTGCATTATTTGCAATCAAGTTAGCAACTTGTGAAGCGCCTGTGTTCACATCAAAAGCACTTCTTTTCACATGGTTTAGGGGAAGGCTTGTCAAGATGTTGGACAGAACATGTAACCCTGTTCTGACACTCAGTTCAAGCGCTCTGATGTTGTTTGTGGCGTTATCAGGGGTAATGCAGATTTGCTGATCCTCTCTCAGTCTACAGGACTTAAGTGACTTTTTCAACTTTTAGCGGACTTTTAGATGTCAACAGTTTCCAATCTTTGATGAAATTAGTCATGACTTTTGATTTTGCTGTCAGAGCCCCCAGACTTTGGAACAGCCTGCCAGAAGAGATCAAATTTACAGAACCAGTTCCTCGTTGCTTTTATAAAAATCACTTTAACCCTGTGATTTCATTTTGAATCTTTTACCCTATTAGTCTGCTTTTGATGTCTGTTTGTTTTACTATGTTGCTTTAATATTCTGTATGCTTTTATTGTCTCAATTGGTTACCTGTATTGAAAAGTAAATACACAAATTAAGTATTATTATTATTATGAAAGCAATGGTGACCATGAAAGTTAAGTTTAAAAACGAAAAAAAATATTGTCACTTTAAAAATAAACACATGCCAATTCTCTGGCTTATGTTTCTCATATTAAAAATATCAGGCATCATCAGTGCTCATGTCTGAGCTTTTGGCTTTCGGTCCAAAGTTTCCGTTCAGTAGCTGGATGAGGAAGCACCTGCTGTGGTGGAGGTTTCCTGTGTTTTACTTATGAACCATCCAAAGCTTGCTGACATTTCCAAAATCGGTTTGATTGTGTGTCTCGTTTATAATTTGAATTTCAAAATGTATGAGTTTTCTTTTAAAGTGCATTATAAGTTTTTGATAACAAATAGTATGTGATATAACAGTTATTGGATCC